ACAGGAACCGATAACCGCAATCCAACGGAACCGAGGATTGATAACAGAATAACACAGACGAGGACTGATGACAGAAGAATGGAGACGGGGATCAATAATAGAGACGGGAACCGATGACAGATAAATTGACATAAAAAACGGTAGCCAGGATTGATTACAGAAAAATAGAGACGAGAACGGAGAAGAACGAAGACGAGAACCGATAACAGATGAACGAAGGCAACGACCGATAACAGAAAAACAGAGACGAGAACCGATAACAAAAGAACGAAGTTCACAGCCAATAACAATAGAACTGACAACAAGAGAACTGCGACGAGGACCGATAACAGAAGAACGAAGACGACGGACCGATTTAAAAACAAAATAACACAAACCCCCAAAAGATTCAGAAAAGGTGCTATTAAATTTTGGGATTTCCCACGTTTTACCCCCCCATACATACGAGCGTGCAATATAATGGGATAAAAAGGCCCGATAAAAAAAAAATGAAAGCTCTATATTTTTCAGAAGGGAGGAAAAAAGGGGTTTGTTTCGCTGCTTAAATGCCTTAAAATTTTCAGTACTATCTTTAATATTACTTCTATATTACTATTATATTGGCCTATAGAAAAATGTCTTCCATCTTGGATATTTCGGCCATATTGGATTGTTTTTCTCTTTTTTAATTCTGTTTTGGTGTCTAATTTGTTTTTACCTAAACATGCTTTGTGACAAATTTTCGGCTTTTTCTTTCCTTAAAAGTTTTATTTGATATATCATCTTTTTATGATAAAGAAATTCTGGTCATTTTAAATGGCCATTTCAATGGTCAAGATCAAGTTTCCACCTTTATCGGATTCAGCATACCTTAAATAGGTAAAATACACCAAGATACCACTTGTACTACAAAATGCCTCTAGCATCTTATAGGGAGCCAAATTCTCAAAATCAGTCCTTTTTAATTCTCAAAAATACTAGTACAATGATGCCATTTGTTGTACATTTTTAAATCTCAGTCGAATATTGGTGAAAGATGTGCCGTTAATTGTTGAATTAGATGTTATTTATTTTATGCTTTTCAGTGGATTACTGATTTATCCGTGAAAATTATATTTGATAATTTCACAGTGAAAATTATCAAAATATAATTTCACACTTTTCAATGACGAAACTACTTTTTTTAAGATTTTCCCCATGTTGTACCTCAATTTTATTTTTGCTGACTATTCCGTCAATATCAGGCTGTTTAAAGAAAAGCAAAGCTGAAATTGATAAATAACTTATATGTCAAAAGTAATAAAAAGAAGAAAACTTACAGTAAGTTACTTCTATTCATTAAAATTACCAATCACTAAATATCGTCTCTTTAATTTTTTGTTTCATTTTACAGTCTGAAAAATACATTTCTTCCACATGCAAAACTGCTCTTGACGGCATTTGGGAATATTTAAGTATCCTACGAGCAAAAACTGCAGTATGCTTTATGAAAACTTGAAAAGCAATGGCAGCTTTCAGTCGAAGAATATGTAAAACAACCCAGCGTTCGTAAGGCTTCCAAGTTTTCCAATTTCCTATCCACTTTTTTTAATGTTTACACATCTGTCAACACTTATTTATTGTCTGTTACAATCCTCATATAAGTTTTCTTTCTTTTAAAAAGGTGTATGACTAACAAATCCAAATGATATCCCTCTGAATCAAACACAATTATTTTCCTCCAGTGAAATACACAACTTTAAAAATGGCGGCCGTTTGCATTTAACATAGTCAGGTCTAATGTAAATTCGCAGTCAGTAACAGAAATATGGATGGATGGTTGGACTTTTTCTCCTACTAGAATTGTTTGTTTTTATTATTTAAACATGCGATCAGACATATTTTTTTAATAAAATTAATACTATCACCACCATTTAACGTTGATTGTGGAACTTATTTTTCAGCCCATGTCTTCTTGTATTTAATGAGAAATTCGACTTTTTTGAGGCTCTAAATGGGGAAACAGATTTTAATATTAACGTAAACATTAAGGAGATTTCGTTTTAACTTGTTTTTAAGCATAAAATAAAAAGAAAATTTGTTTGTTTGTTGTGTAAGATGTAATTTTATTTCATCTCGTGAACTTTAAAAACAGTATTCTCACTCGTAGCTACGCCACTCGTGAGAATACTGTTTTTAAAGCCCACTCGATGAAATAAAATTTCATCTTACACACAAACAAACAAATATCCTCTATTTAATACAGTATTACAACAGTATGATAAAACGTTCAAAATAAATAAATAAATAATGATGATAATAATAATAATTATTATTATTCTTACTAATAATAATAATAATAATAATAATAATAATAATAATAATAATGATATTAATACATGTGTTTTGAAAATGAAATTGCTACGGTGTACTTAAGCCAATGACGATAGTAAAAATCAGTAATATGAATATAAATAACACGTTGGACGGCTGTGATCATGTCCTTTTCGAGTTCTATTATTAGATCGGTAATGTTAAAAGTGACCTCAGTGTGATATAAAAATGTTAAAGCAGATTCATCTGAAACAGTATCTTTAAATGGATTGATTGGTCTGTTATGCGCACATTTTCTTTTCCATTTCTATTTCAGACATTGATAAAAACAATAGAAATGTATCATTTGGATATTCTTATAAAATGCTACTTGAAACAACACCAGGACAATATTATTTGCTATATAAATATAATTCAGTCGCGTCATGACAAAACCAACATAATGGGTTTGCGACTAGCAAGGATCCAGACTAGCCTGCGCATCCGTGCAGTCTAATCAGGATCCATGCTGTTCGCTATCAGTTTCTCTACTTGTAATAGAGTTTGTAAGTGAACAGCATGGATCCTGATCAGACTGCGCGGATGCGCAGGCTGGTCTTGATCCATGCTGGTCGCAAACCCTTTATTTTGGTTTTGTCATGACGCGGCTGAATTATGTAATATCGGATCATATATTTCACACTTGCCAACAACTTCCATGTAAAATTATTTCGTTATTTCTTGTTAATATATCTAATATTAAATACAATAAACGAAATAATTAATTGTTTACCTATTACCTTCCATTATAGACCAATGCACTTAAAAATTCTTTTAAAATTTTAACCTTGTTTTCGGACATATGGTAATTTCCCGGTTTGGTTTTTTTCTAGTAAGTCTAACCTACTTGTCAACATTTTATATCAAGGTTATCATTAATAGAGACATGTTGACATCTGTTTGACAAAGAAGTACCAGTCTCTCAAGTCTCTAAAGTCTTCTTGTTTTTTAAATCTAACGTACTTAAGCTTCATTGTCGACATTATGATAAAAACACGTTATATACACATGTTACTGTACGCTTAAAAAAGCCTACTCAGCTATTTGAATAGCCTGATTTATGTAAAAAAACAATTGTGAATCTAATTTTACGGAATATAGTTACTTTGTTACGTGTTACTTTGAATACTATAGTGAATCATGTGTTTTGTATTTAACACTTGAAACAAATTAAAATTAAGTTCAAATCATATCAAAACTTTTGACGGTACTGTGTAAGAGCCCATATGATAATTATACAATTTGACCTCGGTTTATTTTGTAACCATATATACGTTTATATCACAATAAACGTTGTTATAAGTGTTTCAGTCTGGGAAAAAAAGTTTCATTAGTTTGATTTTTAAATGGTTATATGTATCTTTTATATTTTTACCTTTCTTTGATATCATTTTATTATTTAATTGTATCAGATCAAATAACACAAACTTAAATCATTATAATATCACAGCAAAATCATGTACAAATCATCGTCGGATACCCACGGCCGAACCATTAACATTTGAACAACCGTGGGTATCCGACGATAAGACTCAAAATTCTTGTACCAAAATAATCTAGGTCCGTTAAAGAGTCCAGCCCCCAGAAATAAATCAGTTAGGAAATTAAATGTTTGTTAAGGGGACCCCATTGAAAGTGGTTTTTTACATAAGGGGACTGCAAATATTTTCTTTTCAGATTTTTCTACCATTTGAGGAAGTTGTATACTAATAGATCTATACTATGTTCAAGATATCATCTCATTATTATTGTGCAAAATGGCAAAATGAAAAGCGTTTCAACGATTTTAAGACAAATAGGGCTAATTAATGGACTGAATGTCGAGTTTCAACCTATCTTTATCATTTTTACAAAAAAAAAAAAAATTCTTTGCTGATCGATATAAGATTTTAATTTATATATATCTTTTTAAGCTATATGGACCTCTTTTAAGCACAAAAATCATGTTTTTTGACTGGTTATTTATTAACTGGTAGTAAATTTACATTTGTACTCAAAACAAAAAAGTCAAACAGTTATAAAGTTGAAAAAAATATTGCAATAAACATTGACTATATCTTAAAGGACCCCCGCTGATGGTCTAAAACATTAAATTTGAATATCTTTCAATATACATACACACAACAGGACACTTAAAGATATGAGATGGATAATGATAATATAGAAATATGTTCAGAATTTAATTGAAAATTGTTGTTTTGTGCAAGGCTTACATTGAGTTAAAAGTTTTTAAATGTTTTGTTTTTTTTTCATTTTTTTATTAATTAATTATTCACAATGTGAATAATTATCTGAAACTTTCCTGTCCTAAAAGGATATTGGTCTAGACATACATTAAATGGTACATAAATCGTAATGAAAAAAGAAAACGTCAGTGGAGTCCTTTCAATATAGAATATTCATTTATGAAATTTATGAAGCATGCAGCCAACCAATTTACTATTATTCTAAATAAGCAACTGCGGTTACAAAAACATATCTAAAATATTTTAATATTCTATAAAAGTAGGTATGGGGAATTATTTTTAAAATGTTCATATTACAAAAAAAGTCAAGAACATATATATTTGTATCTAAAATTTATTTCATCATAAACAATGGAACATAAACAGCAAAACCAACCAAATTGCTTCAACAGATTCTGAAGCAAACTGTTCTTAGTGTATTGATCTTAATACAAAGTCAGACGCATTTAGAAAACAAATGGAACTTTACATAGAGAAGATTTGGAATAACAGTATGGGTAAAAAAACGAAAAATTTATACCATGGGCGAGTATAGAGACAGAGTTGTACCAGAGGTCTCTTTTCCAGTAGCATTTAGATATCAATAGATTAATGAGCCGCGCCATGACAAAACCAACATAGTGCGTTTGGAACCAGCATGGATCCAGACCAGCCTGTACATCCGCGCAGTCTGATCAAGATCCATGTTGTTCGCTTACAAACCCTACAACAAGAAGAGAAACTGATCCTGATCAGACTGCGTGGATGCGCAGGCTTGTCTTGATCCATGCTGGTCGCAAACGCACTATGTTGGTTTTGTCATGGTGCGGCTCATTTGTTTATTTCCTCAATGTCAATTAAAAGGGCATTTGAAGTGTCTCTCGCATCAATTATGTCACCATAGTTTGTAGCATAACACATAAAATCACAAATCGCAATTAAGTATTCTTAAATTGTGTTGAATGATGCTCGCAGAGCCGTGTCATCCTTTAAGCATAATTTTGGCTCAAGGATAAATTCTTCAATTCTTCTTTGCAAGATTAAGTTGCGCTTCTTTGACCTCTCGAGCCGCAAGCTCCTAGCTTTCTTATAATCCGACAGATAATCCTCGTAATCTGCTTTTGTAAGAATAAGCCTCCCGTCTGGCGTTGTGCCACCTGGATCGAGAGAGACCATTGGTTTCGGCGTCGTATTTAGTTCTGGAAGGGATAGCCTTTGTTTGAAGAAATGTTTTTGTGTCAAATCATCCAGTTGTCGAGACTTTCTTTTAAAACTTCTTTTATTATCTTTTTCTGAATATTGTAACCTCATGTCAAGAATTTTTGATTGTGTAATACCATCATGATAAGGGTTAACTGCCCATTTTGACGGTCGATCAATCAACAACCTGTGAAAGTCAGCTTCTTTTCTTATATCATCTTCACTCTCAAGTTTGCCGTGTTGTTCAGCCCAAAATTGCACTTTTGATTCTGATGGCATAGCTTTCGTCTTCTTTAGCGCAAAATGAGTTGGTAAATGTTTCGTCAAACAGGCAGTCGAGACCTGAGCTTCTCCTTCCCCTAACTTTGTCTTTTGCTCAAATACAGTTTCACTATTCCAATTGTCATCATCCTGTTCCTTGTTTTCAATGTTTAATCCATAAAATTGACTTCCGAGATCGTCATTTTCAATCATTTGTTTAACTGTTTCACTATCGCTAAGCGCCTTTTTAGATTGTCTTATTGCTTTCTTAGCTACGGTCTGAGGTCCTGTCATACCTACAACTAATACATTAGATGTGAATAACCGTTCTGTCGGAAGTTCGTGGTCTTTTGAATTGTCATTCGATTTATTTGATCTTCTGTCATCGGCATATACAGTCGCCACCATACTCGGCGAAGGGGCAGGCGGCAGTATAGTTGCATCATCGCGTTTATCAGTTTTGTTTTGGGACGACAGAGGTATGAAATTCACTTCTTCCGCCGTTGTCTCGATGGGTGGTAGGCCTGTATAAACAAATGTTGCCTGAGGTACTGGAACATACTGGCGTTCAGCCGTTTTCTTTTCATTTTCTTGCAGCATGGAAAGACTATTCAATTTATTGCTAGTACTTTGACGCAATTTATCTATCTGTTCCCGTCGTTCTCGCATCTTCTGAACAAACATTTTTCTCGTGTTTTCAAATCCATATTTCGTTTGCTTTTCATCTTTGTACAAATTTCGCATAATTTTCTTGAAATTCGATCGTACACCAAACTGTGTTTGATACAAGTTTCTAGATCTCATGACTTCATAAAGTTCATGCTCATGGAGGTATTCATCAGTCTGAGAAAATTTGAGATGAAACATAAATCTCGAGTATTTTGTGTCAGGTTCCATATTTCCCATCAACTCGAATGTTTTCCGCAAGTCACTGTTAGTAGTAAATACACAATATCACATTAATTCCAAACAACAGTTCAATTTTCATTTTCATTCTACTTATTTATTTTGTTTTTATTTCTTTTTGTTTTGTTTATGTTATCCTTTTTGTTATTTTTGTCTCACTGCTCACCATTAAGTTAGTTCCAGTGCGTATAGCAGAATTAGCCAATTAACGCATTACATGTATCTATAATAGTATGTCTACCGTCGTTTCTCATTAAACATTTATAGTAAGTTGCCAAGGTGAACACTTTACAATACTGCACTCAGTAATAAATATACGGTCAGTAATCGTTTTTATCAGGACTAAGTTCTTTTAAAATCTTCAGCTAGATTTCTGCTTTATGCATTATTCCATTTCTAAATGTTTTGTTGAAATAACATTTTATATGTTCACTTAGACCTTGTGATATTCATCAATTTGACTTCGTATCCATTATCTTATCATTTCATCCTTTTCTAACTTTCAATCCCGTTTTATGTCTACATGAAAAGTAATTGTTTAAAAAAATCTTCGAAATAATCATCTGAAATGAGAAAATTCAATCGCATTTAAATCTTCAAATCAATTAAATAATTTATACACACTTCAAGTCAGATTTCAAAGCAAATACAGAGTTTGCTCCACTTTACCATTATCAATGGTACTTAGAAAGATATAAATTTTATTGTACTTTAGAAATACTTCAGTCAGTCGGGTCATATTTGGTAGTCCTGAATGGCACAATAAAATGTAGAATTAATTGATAAAAATCCACTGGTAGTTGTAAATTAATTGATAAAAGTGGTTATTTCTGAACGATTTGAGGGACGAATTTTGGACTGTCCAAAAATCGAAAAAATCTCCCTGAAAATTTTTACAGTTATTAAGTTAAATAAAAAATTACATCATCATTAAATAATCACAGATTTTATGTTCGGACTGGTGAAAGGATGGTTCTATAAAACTTGCATTGAAATAATTATCGACACACATAGAAAATAACGTTTTGAATATGAATTCTTTTGGAAGCTTGAGAACAGAATTAATAAATTCGGCGAGTTAATCAGTACAATTGATTCATTGTACTGATTTCAGACTTGCGTGCTTACACGAGGTAATTAAAGCTAGCCTCTTTCGGTGATATGAATCATTTAGTCATAGATGAAAGTAAATGCTTAAAGAGTGTAAGAAAATATAATCGTGTTTAATTAGCGATTGGTCTTGTACTGAAAGGAGTGCAAAAGTATTACTCAGTTCAACAGATAAGTAAAACTTTCTACTTCAAACTTCTCTGCAATCGGCAATAAACTGATAAAAACAACTTTAATGAACAGGTATTGATTCCCCCACAAATGTGTTTAAATGGTCGTGTTTTATATTGATAGGTAAACATCGCCAGATCTATTTCAAATATTTATACAAATGAACGAAAAATATAAACTATTCCTAGAAGTTTACTTTTTACATCTGACAATTTAGCTAGCCTCTTCTCTCATTTTCAGTTAATTGTTCATGATAAATGAAATATGCAATTTTATTTATTTTTTGTTATTATATTGCATTGACCTTCGGGGAGATAAACTTAATAATTTTACTCATTTTAGATGTGAGAGCATATGATTAAAGAGACCAATGTCGTCTTGATTTAATCTTTAAGGCTTGCCGTTTTGCTTTGCTTTTTATCAGTGGCTTACAGTCAACCACTGAAAAAAAAAACGTTTTAATGTTTTATCAGTGGCTTACAGTCAACCAATGGAAAAACGTTTTAATTTGTTTGAAAGAAATACACCAAACATTTGGCCCCTGTTACCGTTTACAGTCAGCCACTCCTATTCTTTGATCTGTTGGTTTTGAAAAAGTAGACAGATATAATGATTTGTTTTTAGCCGATAAAATATTTGTTAAAATATTTATTTTAAAACATCATACCAAATACCTTTGTTGAATAATTTCAGTATAGCTGATTGTACGAAATTATCCAAATAACAGTCTAATATTTTGTTAGCCTTTCTAAGAGGGCATATTTTATTCTGTTTTCGTTTATAATTTATTGAAAATGTCTTTGTTTTATTTTTCCTCAGGTATAATTTAAATATGAAAGCAATGTAAAAAGACTCCACCGAGGTTTTTATTCATGAAAGGACTTGAAATATTTAATGAGATTGTGTACCATTTGATACAGTAAGTAAGTAAGTAAGTAAATATTTTATTATAGTGACATGTGTATGACAGTTTACAAATAACGAAATTAAATAATTTAACATAACACCCGGCCCAATGGACCAATAAGTCACCTGAAACATATATACATTATAAATAGTTCACATGAAATTATTATACTGTACACATCATCAATATTACAGGATAAATATTTCAACGATTAAATAAGGATTTCTTTCTTTTACAATAAGCATTAACAAGGTATTTAGCTACTTTTCGTGGAAAACTTACAACAAGATATTTCATTTTCATATCATCGTTCATGCTCATAAAATCTTCATTCATAAATTGTTCACTAAAAATGTCTACTCTGATGTTGTTGTAAAAGGGACACTGGACTAAAAAGTGTTTTTCATCTTCTATTTTATTATCTGGACAAAACAAACAAATTCTCTGCTCTGGTGTTTCACTGATATAACGTCCAGTTTCAATCCTTAACGGTAGAATGCCACATCTAAATTGAGATAACATTGATCTTTCATTTTTATTCAAATTTAACTGTACATATTTTTCTGTTATAAAATTGTCCTTAAGGGTAACATAGGTTCGTAATTTCGGTACTTTTTGTATGTCAGTTTTCCAAATATCCGTATAATATTGAGTTATCCTGGTCTTAACGTAATCTAAGCTTATAACGGTTTTGTTCTCAAAATGACTGACCAAGTTCAATTTTGTCATAACTGTTTTAACGTCACTGCACCAATTATTACTGCATTTATTGTAGTCCATGTTGAAGACGCGTTTAGTAATCCTATTATCATTGAATAAAATAAGCCTATTCCAATATCGTATTATTGATATCCAACGGCGATAGTTACTTGGTAGCCATCCCGTGTCTCCAGTAAGTGCAAGTTTTGGGGCGAAACGGTGAACACCGAGATAATAGCGTATAGCACGGTATTGTATATTGTCTATTGATTGGTAATGTTTGAATCCCCATACAGAAGCACAATAGTCTAAGATTGGTATCACACATGATTCGAACAGTTTTGTAAATGATTTATATCCACAATCTTTATAGTTATGAATTTTAGAAATAAAAACAAGTCTAGACCAATAACGTGTGTTACTCTATTTTTCAAAAATAATTATTCTCAATGTGCAAAATGACCAAAAAATGAAAAGCTTTGCAATGCTTTCCACTCAAACCTGGCTAAAAAAGTAAAAAAGATCGATTTTCAAATTGAACTCTGACAATTATTTTTTAACCTCAGTGGAGCAAATTTAAAGACATATTTACCTCAACAAATAACTTCGTTTTTTTCCCCAAAAGTTTTATGTTTGTAATTTACTGTTACAAGTTCTATACAGTTTCCCATTTGACTGCTTATCCTAAAGTTGTGTTTCTTTTGCGTTTTGGCAATAAGTACAATTATAGTAAGTAAGTGTATATACCGAAGTGAAAATACACAATCTGTTAAAAATCAGTTCCCAAATAACGCTACGCTTTAGAATCTGACATTCACCAATAGGTAGTCACCTTCTCGTGTTCTTTCAAACAACCAATCATTGGCGAGCTTTCATAATTTTGAAAAGCGATGAGATTTCTTAACCCCTAGAAAACTAATATTAATACTGATTTGGTAATTTTCACGATTTCGAGAACAAACATGGCGTTGTCTATATAGCCGACAGGTAAACTGGCAAAACAATCTTGCCTGTTAAAAATTGACTGTTATTTCAAGTTAATTTGTTTAAATTTACTGCAAACATTTTTTATCTAACAAAACTCAACAATTTGCAAGGGGGAGAATCACGCCGTTCGTTACCCAAACAAACAAGATGGCGGATGCAGCCAAAAAGTAGGTTTTTCCCTTTTTTCTCTGAAATTCGTGATGTTCTAATGTAAAGGTACATGTATATAACAACCTTCTCCACAATTTTCCTGGCACACAGGATTTTATTTCATGCTGTTTCGTCCCGTACTTTATCTGAAATGCGCGTCACCAGATTCGAAGCGAGAGAATTTTCCACCGGTTTGATCGTGGTAACGTACGGCTTTTTCTCTAAAATTCACTGTTTCTTTTACATATATGTATATTAACTGAAACCACTAACTTTAAAAAGTTGTAATATGTTGTCAAGTAAACAATCATGCCCATTCTGGCTAGATTTACTGCTGTAAATATTAATATCGAGGCATTTTCCGGAAATGATAACGTATGGCGCACAAAATATCAATGATAACGTACGGCGCATTTTACTACTTGGTGGATTTCCATTTGTCCAATCAGCTGATAATGAATTATTTTTATGTAGGAAATGAAAGATATCTGAAAAAATGTTGGTCAGGTCAGAAATAATTAATTGAACCTTGCTGTACCATCGGGTATAAATATCTTTCTAGCTGGAGGCATAATAGATTTTCGTTGTTAATATACCAATTAAAACACACGTGTATAGTTTGAGAATATTTTGTATAAAATGTAGAATGGAAAGAAAAGCCTCCATTTTCAGGAAACATTTGTGTAGCGTTGTCTTCACATTAAATTTCGCCAGTGTTGTGCGATAATTATGGTCTTATCCCATTATCGGAAAGAAGAAACGCATTCAGCAGAGCAAAAATGTTAAAAAGGTACGGACGGCTTGATATATTTTCTTTTTCCAGAGAAAAAGTCTAAAATCATTCCTAACATATTTCTGATAAGGAAATCTTAATATTTGAACTCGTCAAACATTTACAAAACGAAAATTGATTGCGACTAGCTTACACCCAGATGAGATGAGCCTGTGTTTATTCAATCTGGTCGTTCATTGAAAGAAAAATACATAACAGAGAAAAATGAATGAGAGTAGGTTCAATAATGAATTTATTGAATGAGTTAGCAAAAAAATGTTATGC